TTCTTCCTAGGTATTGGGAAAGCCATGATATATTTTTCTGTTTTTCTTGATGACTTTTCTGTCAACCTAGTACTCTTTATTAGTTATGTGGAACCAGTGAAATTTGAGCAAAGAGTTTTAATGGTCAAAGAGAATCAGAATATAATTGTGATGGTTAACATGCTAGAGACTGCCAGCAAAGAAAAATTTATGTGAATTTTTTAACTGTTGAAAAGTTAATATAGGTCTTGATTGGGGTAATTTAGGAGCGGACATGAAGAATGAGATCAAGGCAAATGGTAGCGAAGCAGTAGAGAAGAAGGCACGTGACTGGGTGACTGGAGCAATGTGCAGAGGGAAGACGGAGTCTGAGATCACTCTGAGGCTGTGAAACAGAAGGAAGAAGAGATTTTGAGACCTTTCGCAAAAACAGGGTTTGTTTAGAAAAGTCAGAACCAGTTAGTGCATCCTAACAGCATTGGGTACATATTTTGGTGGCTTTAATGTTTGTTCCTGTTCTTACTGGCAGGCGTCTTCTAGGAGAAGTAGTCCTGGGGCAACTCCAGGTCTGACCTGGGGCTAGAGGTCAGGCTCCATGGCAGGATTTGAGAACCCTCTGCAGAGGTGACGCTGGAATACTGGGAAGGCATGAGGTGATAGGCAAGAGCATGCTTTGCAGGATGCAGAGAACAGGACTGTCCTTGTCATCAAAGTTAGTCTGTAAGTGCCTGAAGGATGTACTCCAGGTTACTTGTCCACCTCACCGTTTGTTGCATTGTATCCACGTGTCTTTGTTTTTCCCACAGTTTCCCTTCTCGGTCCCTTCGATATTCAGCTTCTCATAGCAGTATTTGTCTGATGCTGTCACCTCTGAAGAACAGAATTTTCTATCAGTGAGCGCCTCAAAATGTTTGTAATGAAGAAACACTGCAATTGAAAGACTCTCTCATGACGTGTTATCAGTTCCCAAAACTGTACCCGTGGTTCACAAGAGACATCATAGACATCCGTAACACAGATACATTTCTCATGACTGCTCATTTGAAAGTTTGAAGACAATTATATTTAGATCTTTGATGGATTCAGACTATAGGCTGCAAGAACAACTCTCTACAGGATTTGGCTAATAATTAGGAGAAGAACTACCGAATGATTCCTTGAATAAATATTACATGCTTCAATCTTAGTGCCAAATACAATGCCTGAATTTTTCATTCAGAAAATTTTATTAATAAAGACAACTTCATTAAAATATTTATTAACTATAATTAGATTTAAAAAAAAGCAATGGTGCAATTTGTACCTTGCTTACTAATTCTTAACTGTTATGCAAAACAGTATTTTTTTTTATTGGGGGGTCAGACAATGGCATAGTGGTAAAACACAAGGCTTTGCAGAAGGTCACCTGTAACTCAAAAAGCCAGCTAGAGTTTAAGATAGGTAGTTGAGGGCTAGTCCTATAGACTGATAATTTAGGGAGCCAGATCCCACATGGCCAACTGCACTTCAAATCCCAGCCCTGATGACTTGTAAAACAAGCTAGGCATGTGTACGTGCATGCTCCAAAGCCAACAGGATGAAGAAATGCGGGAGAGGGGATTGCAGTATGACCATGCACCACTGGAGGTTGTTTTCTCCTTCTCTGTCTCTCTGATGAGCGCATGTGCCCTCTGGCAATTAAACACAAAAACAAAACAAATACAAATAAGTAAGCAAATAAACAAAAAGAAACATAGATAAGAGGAAAAAGAAATTCTAAAAAATCTACAGTTCTGAGATAAGGATGCCCTCTCCAGGGTCCATGCCCATTCCACATGGCTATACAGATTTTACTTCAGGGCACTCAGCTGTGGAGAGTATAAGTGGAGCTAGAATCCAGGTTTGCTATCTTCTCCAAGCTGTGTACCCTGGCATGGGCTTCACCTGCCTGGCAGTAAAGGCACCTTCTGTCTCATCCACAGGCACTGCCAACTAGCCAAGATGAGTGGGGTTGTGTCTTTTCAACAGAGGTACCCAGCTCTAATTTTCAGAAAAGTGCTTCTGCTCAGACCTGCAGTAGCTCTTAGAGTCCCCCAGTGATAAAGTGATCAAAAATATATTTCCAGCTCACAAAGTCATACTTTAAAATATGAAACCACACTATTTACTTACTTTGACCCCAGACGTACTTGCATTGTCTATCCCTGGTTTTACACCTTCCTCCAAAGCAAATTCCCTAAAATGGAAAAGCAAATACTCATCACAAATGGAATGTCTGCTTATGTCAGATAACTGAAAAAGAAAATATAATTGGAAAAAAATAGTAGGATACTATTAAAAAGGCCTTTCAGCTTCAGAATTGATAACAAAACATTTAAATTGATCTTCTTAATTTGATGGACTTCAGCATTTCTTTCAAGCTAGTACACATGAAAAAAATTAGGTAACAAGGAAGTGACCTACCTGGGTACCATCACACGAATATCCATCCATTTTATGAATATTAGGGGCACACTAAGAAAAGAAAGCAAATCATGAACCAAATATATATAGCAAGATATCAGGCTGAGAGAGCTAAATCCTTCACTGTTTACATTTAAAAAAAAAAAAACTTGTCTGAAAATATGGTTAGGTCCTTGAACCATCTGAAAATAAAAACAAAGAAGATCAAGAGAAACCAAGACAAAATACAATCATTGTGTACTTTCCCATAAAAATATGAACCTACCAGAAATAGAAATAGTTGATTACATAACAGCAAATAAAAAAGAACTGACTACAGTAGACTCAGCTAAACTTCGTTTAAGAGTATCTTGCTTCCTATAGTCACATATTCCCTCAGAGCAAGAAAGGGAAGGACACAAAACAGAAGCAAGGAACACGCACACATCAATAGAGCAATAACTTTACTTTCTCCTCTTACCATGAAAAGCAACACAGCCCTTACACTTAAAATAATAACTCGCGAGCAGAAGTATACTTTGAACATGTTAGAATATGCTTTACAATCCCATCATTTTTCCTGGAAGCAATTGTACAAAGCATTCTTGGGTGATACAGACAGTAATTTTTAAGTTCAATGGGGCCAGCAGGTGGCATGGTAGTTAAGATGTTGGACTCCCGCGTGGCCACCTGCAGTTCACGTTCCAGACATGGAGGCTTGAAAACCATACTGGGAATGTGTATGTGTGTGCCCCAAATCTCAGAATGGAGGAGAATGTGTTTCAGCTTGGTCATTACTCCTGGGAGGTGATTCCTCACTTTCCCTTTCACTGTCTCTCTCCAGCGAATGCACACACTCTATGACAAAAACCTTCAAAAGAATTTTTTTCAAGTTCATTATATATTTTTCTATCATTATAATAATTACACAACCATTTAAGAAAAGTTAGAAAATGTAAAATGTAGGAAAAAATAAGTCATTCATATTCCTACCATGAAAGACAGCTATATTTTATATTTTGGTAGATTTTATCTCCAACTGTTTCTATTACAATTGGTACTTTAAACACAGGTATGATCAGTTTATAGATATTTTATCTTCAGCTTTTTTCCTTTACTTTTTGTCACATAAACCGCCTCATGTCATAATGAACTATTTTATAGGTTCCTTTGTGAATGGCTGTTAAGTCATTGTGCCGGGCTAACAATGAACTTCAGCAACCATTTGCAGTTACCTCCCATGTAGTTCCAGATAGTTCAGCATGAGCATCTGTACACATGCATCACTTTTGGACTTGGAATTATTTTACAATTTTGCTGATTTATAATCACATTCTCCCCATAAAAAAGGTGGTTTTCATACAGTTTCTGTCTAGGAGTCTTTGAAGTAATCATTCATTAAATCACTATTATTACTAGGTATTAGCTTAGAAGATATCACCAACTAGATAGGAGGAAAGGAAAACACTTGTACAAGAAAGATCTTTCATTTCTTAGGATGACTACCTTTAAGATAAATATTTTTAATGGTCAATGTAAATAAACATGAAAGAATTCCTCTTCCCTGGAAGGGAAAAAATATGCAAGCAATGCTTCCTTTCAACAGATCTGGTAAGAATGAATTTCAGTCGCCCTACAAACGTTCCAATATTAGCTAATAGAATGCTAACTGTGAGCAATTGCCTAATGCACAAATCTTGCTACCAGCTCTTCAGTCAAATGATCACTGGGCACATAACAGATGCCCATCGTCAGTGAACCATCACAGTGAAAGTTTGTCAATGATTGGCCACCACCCATGTATTTACTGATTTCATGCAAAAATAGCACACAGACTTAGGTTAATTTAACGTTAAGACAAAAGTATGCTGAGCATCTGCTTGTGCTTCACTTACTAAAATTTAAATGCCTGAAAATTAAAAAGCAGGGCTAGATGGCTTGGTGGTTAAAGCAGCAAATCCCATGTGGCTGACCACGTGGTTTGAACCCCAGGTATGTGTGCATGTGTGCCCAAAGTCCAGAAAGGAGGAAGAAATGGAGAAGAGATTGCAGTGTGACCATGCCCCTTGCAGCACAACCATGCCCCACGGAGGGTGCTTTTTCCTCTCTGTCAGTCTGTCTGTCTGGCAAACACATGCATTCTCCAGCAAAACAATTTTAAATAAATAAAAAGCAAGTGAAAGGTGATTAAAGAAAAGTTAGGAACATCTTGTCCACTTACATTTTACATGAGGGTCAGTGCACTAAAGATGCCCCCACTTTTTTCCATTGGGTTTAGAGTTATTATTTGCTAGATTACCTGGCTTGAATTTCCTGAGCATGTTTCACGAATATCACAATCATTTACTGCTTCTCGGCACACAGTCCCCATAGGCTGAAACTAAAATGAACACAAATCAATGTGTTAGAGGAAAAAAAAAAAATCTCTTGGAATATCACCTAAAGAAAGCAAAATGAAAATTATTTAGCTAGGAATACCTTAATCTGTATTTTAAGATGAGAGTCTGTGAAAACCACAGTTACTGAATTAAATGTTATTTGAATAGTTTGAAGAGACAGTTTCTCATGTATGAAGTAAATTCTACAGCCATCACAGTAAATTCTGAAAGTCTGCAATATCCTGCTGACCAGGACTGTGCTTGATGGTACATCCCCATAAGGACCAGTCAGCCCAGTTCTAACAACTCTTCCTTCCAAATAGCTTCTGGATTTATGGTTTACCCTTCATTCTTACACCTTAATATCATAATAGTTTTTTGCTTTATCTGCCAAGAATTTGAAAGTTATATTTTGGTCTGAATCACAAAACTTAGACTTTCTGGCAAAGTAGATTCCTCCCCTGCTCCTTCCCCTACGTCCCTGTCTCATTTTAATATGGGAAGGTCTTCAAAAAGTTCAAGGAAAATGAAAAATCCTTATTATGAAAAAACTGTGGAGACCAGCAGATGGTGTAATGTTACGTCACTGGATTCCCATGTAATCAATCACAGTTTGAGTCCCAGATTCAGCGGCTTCAACTCATCCTGGGCACATGTGCGCACGTGTGCCTAAGATCCCGAGAGGAGAATGAAGGAGAAGGGATTGCGGCGTGGTCACCTCCCCTTGGGGATGATTTCTTGCTTTCTGTCTCTGTCTTTGTCTTTCTGATGAGCACACGTGCCCTAAAGCAAAAACCTCTTAGAAAACAAACAAACAAATAAAAAAACCTCTGCATGATTTCAAAAGTGGTTTGCACCAAAATTAATTTGTACCTTAATTCTAATTTTCATAAACTCTTTGAGGATTGAAATCTTGATTTTTTTTTTCCTAACGTTTCTACAATTTTATGTATAGGGGCTTGGTTTTTTCTTTCCTGTTTTTGAGCATCCCAAATAATAGCTCTTGCAAGTGTAGGAGTTGTACAAATAAATTTTTAACCTCATCGAATTTATGAGTTGCAAGAGCACTCACTATAATGAAACAGAACAGATACATGAAGTTCTTACATGTTCCTTTATTTCTTCAATCCCTCTCTCTTCTTTTCCCTCTCCATAATATGAGCATTTTAGGCTGATCCTTTTATTTTCTTGTCTCTAATCAGATAGTCAAAAATACATCCCCACTCTCCCCACTTTTTCTGTGCAAACTTCATTCTCCCTGCTTGAACCCTCCAGGCATCCCAGGTTCCTTCTGAGAACACGTTGCATATGCACAGCCCACTGCCAACCTGAATCAGCACTTTGATAGACAGTGTTAGGAGGTATGAATAAACTTTGTGTTCGTTCATCCATTCATCATGCATTTACTAAGCACTGAGAATGTACTGTTCTAGCCACTATGGACTCAATGAAGAGTAAAACACAAGGACCCAGCTCACCAGGAACTTGCATTTGAATGAGCCTAAGGGGGTCATAAAAATAGGGAAACAAGCAAGATAACTTAATTTCACATTTTCTTGTTTTTTCATCTTTGGGACTGGGGAAAAAACCCCAATTTGAAATATCTGAGGCAGAAATATGAGCACATTTCAGGCAGAATTCAGATGAGAGTACAAACACTGAAGAATGTCTAAGAAACTGCCTAAAGAAAGTACATTGAGGGAGAATTTGCTCTAAGTGCAGAAATATAGCAGTAAATTCATCAACCCAAATCCCTGCTCCCCTGGAACTTACATTATAATAGGAGGAGAAAAATAATAAACAAGTAAGCAGGCTATGTTTTACAGCAGCAGCCTGCAAATTATGGCCTGAGGGGCAAAGCTGGCTGTCCTTCTTTTTAAATAAAGTTTTAATGGAACACAGCCATGTTCATTGGTTTCTGCATTGTTCGTGACTGCTTTCCAAGGCACAGCTGAGTAACTGCAATAGCGATTTCATGAGCCACAGAACCTAAAGTATTTACCATCTGCTCTTTAAGAGAAAAAGTTTACCATTATTATTATAAATATATATGGAGAAATAGAGATATACCAAATTTCTCATCTTGTTCTTCTGTTCCCTCCTACTATTCACTATCCTGCTTTGGCTCTCCTAGGAGTACAGAGTAAGCAAGAGAGTGGGTGGGCGGGAGGGTGAGGCAGAGAAAGTGGCAAAAAAGATCTTATTTGACTGGTAACTATAACTTATTTTGTGGGATATTAGTTAAGCATACCATTTTATTTTGTGTATTTTAACCTTATTATTTAGTATTTGTTCCTTGAAATGATTATATCAAAAGAGCCAAATGCTGTAAATCAAAGGAAAAAAATGGTGTAATTAAACGTATTATATAGATGAGCCAACTTAAAACATCAAGGATTAAAATCAATGATTCAGGAGCTCTTGTTATGGCAGTTGGGAAAGCTGATAGAATAAACATTTGTGGTTGCCAAAATGAAAAAATGTCTGTTACACATTTGGTTTAATCTTCCATTTTTAGAGAATACTTCCAGAGATCTCTGCCAGTGCTTTGCATGTCTTAAAATGCTGCCAGAAGACACAGTGGCAGAGGAGAAACAACAGAAACTCTGCCAGCAGCTCGGGATGTAACTCACATCTCTTCCTTACTGGTGAGTGAGCCTGTATGAGTTACTTAACTTCCTTCAGATTGAAATCACCCAACTGTAAAACTCAGGAGAACATCTAGCCCCAAAGTGTGCCTGTGTGCATGTCTCCAACAATGGCCTCCACCAGGGGTGATTTTGCCCCCAGGAAAGTATCTGCCAATGCAGGTAGACACTCTGGTTGTCAGAACCAGGAAGGGTACTGCTAGCCTCTAATGGCAGAATCCAGGGAAGCTGCTAAATCCCCTACGATGTGCACAACACCCCCTTACAACAAAGCAGTAGCCAGTTAAAAGGGGCAGGGTCGAGAAACTTGGACATACAATTACTTAAATTAAAAGAGCTTGGGCCCAGTCTCATGGCATGATTAGCAGCAAACTGAACTGCAGTGTTGGAGCCACATGACCAACTGCAAGTGTGACACTGAACACACCTGCATGCCCAAGATCCTGACAAGAAAACCAGAGAAAGACCCTGTTGAGGGTGATGTCCATCACTCTCTCATTCTCTCTTTTCATGTATACATGGTTTCTATCATGTATATCTATGCATACTCAATTTCTGTCATGTATAAAATCAAATACTTTTTAAAGAAATATTTATTTAATTTCATTTATTATTATTATTTTAGTTCATCAGAGAGAGAGAGAGAGAGAGAGAGAGAGAGAAAGTGAGAAAGCAAACCACCAGGTCCAGGACTTGAATAACAGTCGGCCATGTGGGAAAACAGTGACTTAACCACAACACCACCTGCTGGCCCCTCAATACATTTTTTTAAAAAGTGTTTAGCATGATCTCTGACACACAGTAGATACTTACTATGATAGTTTCATATCCCACCCTCCTATAACTCATTAGTCCAAAGTTAGTCAGTAAACATTTACTAAGAAAGTGTTAAGTATATTACTCATGCATTCAACAAATACTGAGAACCTATACCAATTACTGTTTAAGTGCCTGGCTCTACTCTATAAAATGTATAGCCTAGAGGAAGGGACAAATATTAAACCTCAGAAATAACATAGACTATTCTACCCGATTTTATATGAGAAGAGAAAAAAAAAAAAAAGAATTGGGTTTCTTTGGACAGGTAAGTCCCAAATAACTGTTAGTCTTGATGCAAAGACTTAAATATTTGGAAATAGGTATGAAGATGCTGTTAGGAGGATGAAAACAGATTAAGTGTGTTGAGATACATTCTACACTTTCATGCACAATAATACATGTAAGGTGTTATCATGTCTGAAAATATTCCTTTTGCTCCTCAACAGCTAATCCAAGAGATATACCAAGCTGAGCAATAAGAAAAGAAGGACCTATTGATCCACTTGGCTTTATAAAAAAAAGTGCCATCAGTCAAAGATTAGTAACACCTGATTTCATTTGAAGTGCATAGGCCTCAGGAAAACAATATGTAGAGGATAGCTTTTGACAGGGTTCGGGCTCTAGCTCTCTGACTTACTTGATGTATCACAATGGGCAAACCACTTAACCGCTGCAAGCTTCAGTGTTCCCATCCGTTAGAGGAGAACCTCTATAACTACACCTCATAAAATTGTGTGAGAATTCTCTAAAGCACTAGGTACTTAGTCATCTCATACATGTTATTAATAGATAGTGTCATTATTATGGCTGGAATAAATTTACCTGGCCTGAATAATGGAATTGAATATATCCTATTTCCTGTCAATTTGTCATTCATTAACATTCACATACCTTGCACTTTTTACAGCAAAGACCATCGCTGCACTGAGAGTCTTGAGTCAGGGTACATTTCTTACAACATTCAGCTCCTTCAAGGACACATTCCTAAGAAATACAAACATGTGTAAAACAATCATAAAGTCGTGTTATTTTCCTGAAAGTACCAAGATATTTTCTAAAATAAATGTACAGACTCACAATAATCATTCTTCCAAAAATCCTATGAAACTTCTAGGCATATCACTTGCTGTGTATGTCTCAGTGTGGGAACCTACAATAACCCAGAATGACCTAAAAAACATCATCAAAACGTCTAGAGACTTACTGCAAAGGTCCCACAGTCACACTCCTCTCCAGTTTCAATAAAGCCATTGCCACACTCAGGAGGATCAAGGAGCTATGGGAAGAAAACCAACATGTGAATAAAAATACAGAAAAAAAAAATCACCATCACAGTTGTTTTGTTTCATTTTGTTTGTAGAGGGATTTTTGCACATGTGCTCAAGAGAGAGAGAGAAAGTAAGAAATCACCCCTCAGGGGAGATGGCCACACCACAATCCATTCTCCTCCATTCTCCTCTTGGGACTTTGGGCATGTACACATACAAGCCCAGTGTGAGTTTCAGGCCAAAGCGTGTGGGACTTGAACCGTGTCAGTCTTGTAGGAGTCCAATGCCTTAACCACCATGCTACTACTACCTGCTGGCCCCAACATTAAAGATCTTGAGAAAACAAAAATGCTACTCTATCATGACCGCCAGTCATTCCAAAACATATTTTTATTTTCCTAAACTAGACAGCATGACTTTAAAACTAGAAACTTCAAAAGTGTCTGTTTCCATTTCATATTTAGTATATGCATATAGCTTTATATATATATAACATAAATATCAAGTTAAGATCAAGTAAATGTCACAAAAATAAAGGATGATCTAGCTATTGACTAAGACTAACCCAAACTGACTCCTGAAATTTCATTTCAAACAAAACGCAAGGGGTTTAGAGTTATTAACAGAATATCTAGGTGAGTATCGTGGTTCAACTACTTATTCCGGGCAGATTAGTTAACATCTTAAAGACTTCAATATCTAGAACAGAAGTAATAATATTAGGTCTTCATCTATAATGCAAAATGATTGTGAGAATCAAATTTAATCATCTGTGAGAATCTGTTTATTAGCTATATCTCCTTCTTAAACAGAAAGTTATTTAATAATGAGGAAAGCATAATGAAAAAAAATCCAGTGATCTGTTTAATATAAAATATAGTTCCCATTAACATAGCTTTGTAGAGAACAGCAATACAAATTTTCCCTAATACACACCTACTTTTCGTGTAGATGTGACTGTCAAGAAATGTCAATATATTTTTTTTTTTTTTTTTTTTTTTTTTTTTTTTTTTGGTGTTCTTTTCAAGTTACTCACCAGAGAGAGACACAGACAGAGGAGAATGCACCCCATAATGGGGCGTGGTTATAGACAATACATTTCTCCATCCTGTTGAAATTTGGGACATATCCATGCATAAACCACCATGTTTTTTTCAAGCTGCTAGGGCTGGGATTTGAACTGCAGTTGGTCATGTGACATCCAGCTTCCTTTAACCAGCAGGCTACAGGGCTGTCCCAGGATGTTATATTTTTGTATTTACTTATTTATTTTGAGAATACTATACACATCATCATCAACAGGTAATAAACCATTTGTGTCCCACAAATGTCTCACCTCTATTTTTTTCTCCCTAACTTCCTTCCT